TTGAAGGTAAGGGCATAAATGCCAAAAAATGAAAAGTAAGGACGATTTCCGAAATTAACCCCAAAGATAGGGACGTTCTGTGCTAATTAGCCTATATATCTTTGTCCTATCTCACTTGTTAGATTTTTACGAGCAGAACTGAAACAAAAGGGGGCTGAGATTATTATCTCCATAGAAGGATATTTTCTCTTGCAGGAATACTAATTACTTCATGGAAAATCAATCTCCACCTATTGGAAGTGTGCTTCATTTCACTTGTTGAACATATGCTATGATATATGAGAAGAACTTATTTTTTTATTGATTTTTAACCATTGGTATAAGAGAAACTTCTCATTTTCATGGTTGTGTCATTCCATTTCTTCTTTTGATTAGCTTTGTGACTTGCTGTTTGCAATATATTGCAATTTGGACAAATGGGTTTTTTGATTGGGCAATATTTGTTGTCAAATGGAAATGTTGTGCTATTTTTATTTTATTTATTCATTTATTTGGTTGGTTGTTTAACCAGTCAACAAGTTTCAAGAAAAGCCAAGTTGGTTTTACATCAGCTATCTAATCATTCAACTTTTGAATCATTGTTAGATAAGTTATAGAGGCTAATAAAATGATGCCCCCCACTACATGAGAGACTGTAAATTATTTTTTCCAAATTTGAATCATATATGCAGACTCGTACTGAGATCTTTTTTTTATAACAATTTATAGTCATTTAATCATTTGATATTTCATTGGGTATTGTAGTATTGTTTAATGGTTGGCTGATATCTTATATAGCAAAATTGCTTTCCCTTTATGTATTTATGAATTTCGTGATGTTACTCCATGTTTGTCAATTAAAAAAAAGAAATGGATAATCTCTTGTGAGTAGAATAAATATTTTGTCCATGTAAATTATATCACTTTGTTCCAATATCGATAGTTTGGAATGGCTATGTACTCACCTCTCGTGGGATTAGTCATGATAAATTATCGAGATTGTTATATTGTTTATACTTCGGACTAATGACATTATACTAAGATCCATGCAGATAGTAATTTTGCCATGTCAGTAAATCACTATTTGGTAGGATGTTTAGGACGACAAAGATAATAGTTAAGTGCTTGGCACTTGGTGGTCTAATTGTATCATCTCGGTAGTGGGTCATTTTAAGTC